TGATATTATTGCACGTGTACACCTAGGCAGGTGCGTTATGCGAAATTACATTAAAATATAGGTATAATAAGTATACCTATATAGATGCAGCAATATAATAATTTTTACACTCTCGTTGGAAAGCACTATTTTCTCCGCACGTTCGCCCGGGCCATAGGCGCGCTGCACATGACTGTACGGTTATAATATAATCATAATGAAGCTGCGGCCGGTGGTCAATAATTATTATTATATAGCGGTCGACATAAAACTAGTCGTAAGGCTAAGAGTTATATGGCAGCGACGACACCTTAAAGAAAGAAAGAAAGCGAATGCGTTCCAAAAAATTACAGGTAAACGCGTTTTCGTGTCCTCGGGGTATGCAGCTGTATCGGCACTTGAATATACGTAAAATATATGGCAGTACGTAATTTTGCAGAGGCTCGACGGCTGGTGTTTATGGCGTTAATAAAATCGAAGAAGCAAAAAATATTCGAAAATTAAATAATAGGTGCCTAACGTTAATCGGATATAGTGTTATAACGATGTAATAATAATAAATATATTATGTTATTATATTTTCAAATAAGTACTTCCTCCACCCCCGGCGACTGTATATATTATTATACTGTACACGTGTATATCCTACCTATATATATTATATTGTATATGGGTATATCGCGGAGCTTTCACTCGCGACCATGCACTAACAATGGTCGGTAGTCGGTACAAATAATTTTTTTTTTGAAAATATTGTATTACTATCATTAAGTCGTATCAGTTTACAATCGTGTTATAGTCAACAATAATAGTGATGTACCTACCTACACAATATAATATTATATTATATGGACTTGGGCGGCAGATGATGTTTCCATCCCGTTATACAAAATAATAAAAAAGCATAATATCAAAAGTGCACAACCGGTTTTACCGTTCACGATATTATTATCATATATATATATTATATTATATTGGCCCAATCCCGCGCTCGCGCAACCGCGATGATTTCACTTTCCATCCGTCGTACAGCCCTGGGGCTCCCGAAAGCCATTGTTTCTGGTAATGAGGAAGGCGGCGAAAGTTCCTTATCGTTAATACAATGTGCATATATTTTTCCCCGTGCCATTACATTGCAGCAGTAATAATAGTAATATTATTAGTTATTATGTTTATACACATTATTATGAATGCTATTATACATATCGTAAAAAACTGATAACGAATAATAAAAATCGGAAAAAAAAGTAATAAATATCAATAAAATATCGAAGCAGAATAACTGGAAATAAACTTGCGGCTCGGTGTGCGAATGGCCTGTAGCTATAGTTTGCCTTTCTAAAGGGTCGCGTGGATTGCAAGCACAATTATTGCATAATCATTATCGTGTACACATACACATGTCTCACGGGCCCGCGAGTATGCTGCGATGTTCGTTACGGTAATCCGATAGAAACATAACTATTATTACCTTTTATTATTGTTTAGTATAACCCTTGGAGGTGTCTGCTGCAGTGTTGACACGTTAAACCGTGTCATCGTGATCATAAAATGCAAGGATATACAACTATTAGCAATTGCCTATTATATATTAGGTATATTACATTCGTTTATATTATTGTGATAATAATAACGTGTTTTCAGAAATACCAATTTCAGATCATCATTGATATATTTTATGATTGTTCTTGTAGACGTAGGATTCTATGACACAGAATACAAAATTATAGTCAAAGTTTGGTACGCGACTGTGCAAATGCAATACACATTAGGTGAACTATTTCATATATGTGACTCACTATAGCCACCATCGTGTCCCAAAACACGTCTTCCTCTACCAACACTGGTTAAATCGCAATCACATCGAATACGAAGAACATTCCATTGCGATGACTTAAATATTAAGAATCACCCGTGTGCCCGGCCCTTTCGAAAAAATAATACGTTTGAGTCTTACAGTTCCGCAATTCCGTTTAACCGTATTGGATTATTCAAGAAAGTTATGAAACACTAAATTATATGAATCATCTCTGTGACATTTTATGAGTAATACTTATCATATCATTGATTCTTATAAGTTATAACACTCATTATAATAGAAGGTACCTACCTATATTGTACATAATTGTTGATTATACATAACTATTTAACGTTTCTCCACTCAACAGTTAACCTTGACTCTTTTTTTGTCTCAGTCTTTATTTCTTTAAACAGTTTAAATCAAAAGTAACTCATATTTTATAGTTCTTATAATATTTAGATAAAGTATTTGAATTTATGTATTTGTGATGGTTATAAATAGGTATGTGTATTTAAATTAGTTTTTTTCTACACCAAAATAAAACTCTCTACAGGAGGTCATACAATTGCCACTAAATAATTTCTTTTGAACTTAAAATATATTATCTCTATGTACCAATTGTTAATTTTTTCTGATTTAAATCGCCATTCACTTATGGAAAAGAGGCGGCATCCGAGTTGAGTCCCGAAATTAAAATTCATAATAATATACTAGTTGGGTCCCGTAAAATAACACTATAATACTACATTAAGGTTTTCCTTCCCATTTTAACAGACTTAGGACTGCTGTCTATGATCTATTTTAGCCCACAGATATGCGTAAAAATGTTTTTTTCCAATAAAATGTCTAATTATTAAAATTTAATATAAAAGTAGTATTGATACAAATATACAATACAAACTAAAAAAAGGTGGGCAAGTGGGTGTCGCTCTGCTGTACAGTAGGTTACAAGTGGGTCACTGTATAATGGATGGTATTAAATTTGAATTCAATGATATAATATCATTGTATAAGAAAAACGATTCTGAGCGGTGATGGTATGTCAGTCTATGTATAAGGCATATTATATACATATCTATGGTATTAAACAAAAAATTGACCTATAATAGGTACCTATAATAAATTCCAAATTAATCATATCACAATATCCATTAGATACTTATAACGCGTTATACATCAACAAAAACCGTGATACTATCATAGATATATAATAGTACACTTTAGAAGTTTCAAGTACCCACGAATAGTATTATTCAATCACAACAAAATAACTAAAATCGTAATTCTTGGTTTAAATATGAAATTTTGTCTAAATTTGAAATTAAAATGTCTGTAAAAAATAAGTGTGTTTATATATTTTTTAGATTTTTTGGTTACAGTATGAATTATTTAAGAGAATCTTTGTTTTAAATTTTCAACTCTTAGTTATAAAAACTGAACATTTTATAATTTTTTAATTCCAACGATTGATAATTTTCGAGATTTTGATAAATTTTGTCAAAATTCCAACTTTAAATGCTTATAAAAAAAAATCGTGCCTATGTATTTTTAATATTTTTCAACTGATATTGTAACAATATATCAGGAGCCTTGTATTAAATTTTTACACTTTTTGGCAAAACAGATAAAACTTTATTGATATTTATAGAAAAAAAAACTAAAAAAAATTGAAAGCTGTAAATGTCCATAAACAGCTCAAAAAGAGTCAAAATATTTTCAAAATTGTATGGTGTATATGAAATGCTAATATAAACATTCAGTGAAATTTTCATGTATCTACAGTTATTCGTTTTTGAATTACAACAAAATAAGGAAATCGCTACATGAGAAATCGAGTGAAAATCCAATGTTGTAAAAATTTGAATTTCAAACGCTCATAAAAATTTAATTTGACTGTCCGGTAGAGATTTTTTTATTGATAAAGGTAGATAATCTTATAAGGAATCTTGTGTTTCATTTTCAAATCTTAGATTTAAAAAGAAAAATTTTTACGAATTCTTAACTCAAAATAATTTGCTAATTTTCGTGATTTTTCCATATTTTGTCAATTTTTGAACTTTAAATGCTTATAAAAAAAATTGTGACTAAGGATTTTTAATATTTTTCATCTGCCTTTGAAACAACATATTAGGAGCCTTCTATTAAATTTTCAAGCTTTCGCAACCAACAAATAAAATTTTATTGATATTTCTAGAAAAAAAACTAAAATAAAATGAAAAATGAAAATGTCCCTAAACAGTTCAAAATAAATCAAAATATTTTGAAAATGTTATCGTGTATAGAAAATGCAAATATAAACAACCAGTGAAAATTTCATGTATCTACGGTCATTTGTTTTAAAGTTACACCAATAACCAAATTCGATTTTTTGGAAAATCGATTTTGCGTAAAAATTCCCGTTTTTCCTTAATTTTTATGTTGTTTTTCCCGGCGCTTGTGAAAACTACTGGAAAATGTTTACTTTTGACCCCCCAAAGTACCAACTAGATTCACTTTCCTATCAGAAAAGGTACTATTGAAGAAAATCGAAGCACTTTTACTGTCCCAAAACGTGATGACAGACACAAAAAAAATATAAAAATATAAAAACATACATCATTGTAAAACCAATACATTCATCGCTCCGCTCAGAATCTAAAATATTGAAAATACATATTATATAATATTAAACAGGATTTAAAAAAATCACTTTAGCGTGTTCCTTCAGTTTTTTGTAAAATCGTATAAAACATTAATTATACAAATTCAAATAGATTTATTTTTTCACCAGATGACACAAATTGAAATGCTTAAATTATATATTAATAATAGAGGGAACGATAAAATTAACTTTGATTTACATCAAAGTGATTTTTTTAATCATATTTTAAATTCTAAGAGGAGCAATGAAGGTGGAAAAAAGAATCTTGTTGGTTCATTCGACAGGTTAAAATTAAACATTTTCAGTAGTTTTCAAAAGCGTCAGGAAAACAAAATTAAAAAAAATAATAATTTTCATTGAATGTTTATATTGTATTTTAAAATACACCAACATTACCCCAGTTAGGGATCCAACTATGAGGCGCCATAAAATGCAGAATAATATTTCACTCTACATTTAATTAATCCTCATTAGTAAACCACAATAACAAAACATATTTTAATATCAATAATAATATCAACTTAAAATTATATTGTTAGTCTAATAATATATAATTTTTTCATAATTTATTACACTTACCTATTTGTGCAAATACTGGATCCCAATTTTCCATATCAGATTGTATCTAAAAAATAAATGAAAACACTTTCGGTTAAGTACATAATATAAAATCATATAAATAGTCATTAAAAAATCATAATAATAATTTTAATTGTTTAAATATTTATAATAATAACAAATACCTATGCATTGTAGTACCTTAATTATATTTTACACAATACAAATTCTGAAAGAAAATAAAAATAAATCTTTATCCTTGTGTTAAATAGTCATCAAGACATTTTTAAACTCGGCTTTCAAAAAAAATATAAGAAGTAAGTGGATATAATATAATATAATAATAATATTATAATAATATAATAATTGTATTTCATTTAAAAAAAAAAAATTAAAAAAAAACAAGAATTAGATTTTTATAATTAAAAACTGGTCTGTCACAAGTTAATTTGCCTTAGGGAATACCTAAGTTTTTATTTTTATATGACGATAGAATCTGAACGTCACTGTACGGCTAGGGGGTGTATTCCTTGAAATAATATTATACACATAATCAGTATGTGTGTGATTCGACACCGGCATACTTTCACCTAAATTGGTTATAAGTTATAACTTAAAAGTATGCAAGCATGGTTCTTTTTCTTTAACGAAAACAGATATACAGGATGAAAATCCTCAGAACGTGTTTGTCTTTCTCTTGCTTTATTTATCATCAATATTTATTTAAATTTCCTAATAGCCATTAAGATTATTAGTAGGAACATGATTGATTAATAAATTACATCTTTTTACTTTTTACTATTCCTAAAACATGATTTTCAAAAGTTGGGCTCTAGTTGCACTTCAAATTGTAATGCATTTTATATAAATCGGAATATTTCGGATTATAAACACCTCCCTATCTCATAAATCGGTACAGTACCCGTTTATCGATATCAATTTATTATCATACTAACTAATAAGCATAAACTACCGATAAATGACCAATAAGTTGAATAAAAAATGCTGTTCATATGAAACATTAAAATGTGGCTTACTAAAAATAAAAACTGATCAACACCGGTTCACTTTGACCTTTTTCATTAGTACCAATAGTTAGATCAACTAACAACGTTAACGAGACATCCAGCACTAGGAGCATTGTGTAGGCTACTAAATGTACATGGTGGTATTTGAACATGAATGAATAACATTCCATTAATTCTGAGATGGCTCGGCCGGATAGATACAAATCATGCTTTATAATATACGTAAACATAAAATATGTAATAATAATATTTTCTTTTGAATACATCATCAGTATAATCTATTAATCTATCAAATAATGTATAATATCTATCTTTTTAACCGTGTTTATCAATTTTTGAGACATGTTTTAAATTATAATATAATAAAAATGAATTATAGTGATTATTGTAAAGATCTATCTATTTTTTTTTTCATTTTTTTTGAAGGGTTGTGTAAAATATTATGAACTAAATATAAATTTATTATATTATTTTCTTCTGTGTATTTGTGATTATTTATTAATGAATGAGATCATAAAAAAATATGCTGAGTATCCATTGTGGAATGTAATATTTTATAATGAACCTTAATTCATTGAAGTATAAAATTAAATAGTAAATTAATGGAGGCATGCAGTAAACATAATGATACTACAATAATCAAATGAGCGTAGGTTGTGATATGTATAAGCATAAATTATTTAAATAAAAAAATTTCAACAAGTTAAATACTAAATGAGAAAAAAGTAATTGCTAGCAATATTTAAAAAATAGTGTCTGACACTCGTCAGTCGTCACACTTCATTCATCTCTACACATAACATAGACACAATACAAATATACAATAAAGTGATTTATCATGATAAATTAACGAGAAAGCAATGATAAATCATCATTCATAAGTTATTGGTCGAATTCACCCAGTTAAATATCTGTTATCAGCTGATTAAGCGTAATCGAAGTTTAACTGTAAACGGTACAACTGGTCCTAAACATTAAGTTGGTAGGTAGATACTATACATTTGAAACAAATAGTAAAATTAATATTATGTTTATTCAATGAATTATAAAAATAAAATATTAATTGCAAAAGAATGACTTTTGAAAGACATATTATAAATTAATTTCTGGTTACTGCGAAACACTAATGTATTAATACTCTACGAAAATTGACTTACTTCTTTCACAACTTGGCTACATTTATCAGCTACTTTCAACAATTTGTCAAATATTAAATCATATTCTTCTATGGACAAAATGTCCATTCTACGCAACGGCTCTCCATATAGTTCTTTGGCGGATTTCAGGCATGTAATATATGCCATCTCGTCGTAAATGAATTTTTCAGTAAGACAATATCTTCCATCGTTTTCTAATAAAAATAAAATACATACTCTGAAACTTAATTGTTCAATAATATTATATAGTATAGTTATTATGCATTAATAATAGCAATTGCATATTCAATATTTGATCTATTTCATTGATTACAAAGGTAATAAAATACCTACGTATTTAAATTTAAAGCCTTGAAATAATATTCTTAATAATCAATTTCAACTTGTTCTTTATTTAACCATATATTTGTGCAGGCCCGTATCATCTGAATTGGTTCTTATACAATATTCTCTTTTGGCTACTACATAATATATTATTACACCTACTAATAATAATATAAATCTACTCATTAATTCACTTCAACTCTAAGCTTTTAAATTTACACGATTTGTTATTATTATTCTTACACGGCATGTCTTTTCACAGGGGTGGTGTCCTGCAAAGATTTTTTTATGTGGTGGACGGTGGTGCTTAGACATAATATTAAATCCACAAATCCACCACTTTAAATTAGTAAGTTCGGCCGTGTTCTAGGCACTCATACAGATAGTAGATACTATAATATATTGATAACATTTAAAAAAAATATGACACTTAAATGAAAAAAATTGATTGTAATAAAAAAAATAAAAATAATTAGAGTAATATATAATATATAGTATAGCTTATAACTTTACACTGGGTAGACATAAAAATCATATGATTTAGGGTTGATAAAAGTTTATAAATTCATAAATTTCAACATTCATTGAATTTGTCAATTAATTAAGAATTAATATGATATAATACTGATTTAAAAAAAAATTTACTTCGAAAATTTGATGAAATTGATCATATTATTCCATAACTAATAAGAGCCTTCAAGTAGGTAACTTCTCTACAGTATAGTATATGTACGAGTATAAAATATATCTATTTCAAATTATTATTACTTTTTACTGACCCGCACTTTAAATAGTGAACAATTCAATGAATGTTTACTTAATAAAATTCGTTAATTTTAAATTATATGTATGTATAGGTTCTCATAAAATCTTATTATATATTTTCTTCACAAGATGAAACAACGGGCGACTTGCATAGGCAACTAATATAACACAACCGTCAAACAAGTAAAATGGTACAAACGATGAAGGGCGAACATATGTAAACAACAATATTGACATTATTATTTACCGTGCTTTTGGTCTGAATGGAATTGGTCTTCTTGCACAATTACAATGTCTCCTACTAGAAAATCAATAGTGGAGTTTTCGTCAATTTCAGCTAGTGACCCGCCTAGATAATAACCAGGCAGTTCCAGGCTGAATTCGAATACCAAACCGGCCAGCAATTGCTTAATCGTCTGATCACTAGATCCCGTCATCTGAAACACAAATGAGATAATCTATTTAGAATTTTGTAAATTTTATTAACGTCCTGTGTGAAATAGTATAAATCAAAAATCAATTATTAATAGTATTAAAAAGTAGAAACAAATAGCACACATTATACGACAACTGGTCCAATTTTTTAAATAAATTGTGAGTCAAATCTAATTATCATCAAGACCAAGGTCAGAGCTATGGATGGAAAATGTCAATACGTTCAATAAATACAAATATGAGACAATTCAGTACCCCCAAACATAAATGAAACGTATCATAAATGTTGAAATTAGGGGATGATTCACCGTAGTAATTATAGAAAATATTATATTTTTTATTTTTAGTGTAATTGTGTATACCTAGTATAGATGAACATTCAAAGAAATAATATTTATATATTTAGTTAGGATAGTTAAGTGAGAACACAAACGAGAGTTAATTTTCAATGTATACCTATACGACGTACGTGGTTAGTATACGAGTATACCTTATTAATCGGGTGTACTGGTATTTTCCACGATAAGTGTTCTTTTGTTGTTACAGAGTAGATTTTTTTTTTTATCATAACAATTTTAAATACTTATAATTTATTAACGATTAAATAAAAAATGTTTTAAAAGTTTATTAGTTATATGAGATATGTAACAAATACTATACAATGTATTAAGTATGTGATTCATAAACAAGAAGATATTTAAAATAATATAGATGTAATCATATAATATTATCTTTAAATATATAATCTAAATTGCAAATCTTAATTAAATTAACATTTTTTAATTTTTAGGAAATATCTATATACCTCTATAGTCTATGTGTATTATTGTAGGGTAGTAAATCTAATAGATAATACAAAATATATAAAATCACTTAACTTTTTAATTGAAAACGTTGTTACCTAACTGTATATATAGTAGTATACCATATAATGACCTTAAATAATGTTAAATTGTTTTTTAACGTTCATAATATTTATCTATCTAAGTTTATAGTTAAAAAGTGTATGTTAAAAACCTACTAAACTTACTTAATTTATATTATTTCCCATATTTTAGTAAACGAGTACAGTATAAAACTACCTACTATGACGATCATTAAAATATTGCCTGTGTCTTTATAACGTTATATGTGGTCAATTTGTACAGAAATATAATTTGTATCTACTGGTGTTTACTATATAATGGTTATTTTTTTTTCTATCAAAACAATCTGTTACGTGTTGTTTTGACTCTTTTAGTGATATATATGAAAATGAAAGTGTCAAATTTAATTACATGTTTTACTATTAATTTTAGTAATTGCGTGCTCGTTGACCATGAAATAATCATAGCTGTACACCCGTTATATCATATGGTGATTGTCTTGTTTGTTAAAATACGATTGATGGACGACAGTAAGTTGGCAGCTGGGTAACGCCTATATGTAGAAGTGCCAAAACATTATTTTAATATTTAATTGTTAGAGCAACAAAAAGCATACTATTATACAAGTCTCGAGATATAAAAACAAAATAAACGATTCAACAGTAATGCTATTTTATGGAAATGAAATGCAACGTCCATAGGGATGTAATATACGAGTTTTATAATCCAAATTCAAATGGTGAACATTTACGAAGCGAGTCGGTGTTGGTACCCATCGTATAAAATACACAGGTATTACGCACAGTGATAGTAAATATATTATATAACTGGGTATGCATATCTTAGGTGCAAAAAGATATTTTGTGAGATACTCGAACATGGATGATTCGTAAAGCTTTCCCTAATTTAGCTAGTTGATAGCAAATAATATGTAATTATGCTATAATAAAGTATATAATATAGCTATAGCGGCTAAGCTGACGTGTTTATGCGAGTGTGCAGTTGGATAAGCCACAATCCAAGGTAAATAATATATTTAATTTCTTTACAAATTTCCTAGAACTGTCTTGCACTAATTTGCAATTAATTCACCGGACATTTATACCGTTTCGGATTTTTTTTTGATTTTATTCTGGCCGTATTTCAGTTATATGCTGTTTAACACGTCTGTTTGACTCGTCTACGAGCACGCGCATTTCATAATGCGTGTGCCTCACTTGATAGCGTCATAATAACTCATAATATATTATTAAACACTAACCGTGAAACGCTAACGATCGTATACCATTAATCGAATTATCATATAATGATGTTTCCCGTATGTATGTACGTACGTATATAAACTACCGCTGTACCTACATGTGTGCGCCTAATAATAATATAATATATAAAATTATAAACGGTTCGCGTGGAATCGAAAAAAAATTACACCCGCCGTGTAACGGTTATTTGTGACCTTGCGTAAGGCCGTGGGTGAAATTTTCACACACGCGGTCAATAATAAAAATCGTATTACTGCATTTAAGGTCGTAAACTAGAGATCGCGTACACTAGGTAATCGCAGCCTCCGGGCGCACGCAAACTACGACCATCGACGACGACGGCACCGGCCGCGGCAGAAGCAGATCGCCGACCGTAAACCGTTACGTAGAGACGTTTATTTCTTACGTATTATATATTTATTATTTATATATATGTACTTTACAAACCCGTTTCGCGTAAACCGGGAAGATAACTTGGCGCGTATGTTATTGTACGAAAAATGAAAATACGCAGTACCTATAGAATAATATTATAGATGTGAGGTACCTACCTATATAGTATAGGTCCTATACAGTCAATAGTATAATACAATATTTATTTTGGTCTGCAGTTGAGTAAACATAAAGCTTTTCTGTACGGCACGCTTTCCCAGAAAGATTTCCTCGGAATCCGTAAGTGTAACACAGTGAGGAAATTCTGTAGCGGAGAAATTCGGAACGTCCTTTTGCTAAACGAAGCTGTAAACGTTTGCAAACATTGCAAACGCCATGATCCGACGTTTGGTCTGTTAAATCACGTTATATTCTAGTAAGCAGTAACCAGTTCGGTTTAAGAAATACTTAAACCATGGTAGTAACCAAAACCGTGGTTGACTTTGTTTATGCTTTTTCCGATCGTTATCACTATTCATTGTGTTACTATATCACGACTTATCATGATTTACTTTTTATGTCATACACCACAACCACGGTAAAACAAAATTCCGCACTAAACCAAGCGCTCCCGAATTTCTACCTTTTAACGTTTCAAACGTTAGCGTTTGTTCTGCAAAACGTTTTCCGCTATAGAATTTCCTCAATATAATATAAATTTAATGTTAGGTAGTAGCCAGGTAGCAGCAGCAGCTGGTAACTAAATTGTAACCGTGCGGTATATACCATTATAAATAATAATCTTATCTAGGTAGTCAATAAAATATAGTCCAATTGAAAATAATAAAGGCTCTATATTGGCATAATATTATAGTAGCGTTGTTGTCTATGACGTGTTTCTTTTCGATCGTACGTAAACTGATTTATGTGTAAAACACGAGTATAAAATACAGTTTCTCCTAGATGTTCACCTGCAATGTGAAATTTTAAACTGGATCGACAAAACACTCTTCCTAGAAACCCGCTCATAGAGATTTAAAAAAAATATGATCTCAACAATTAATAGGTATAGTTATTTTTCAAACATTGTGTCGAAACTGTTGGCCAGTGAGAATATGGTATATTACTATACTGAGTACTGACTACTACTATTGGTCAAAAAACAATATTGGAGTTGAACCAAATAAAACAGTGAAGATACCTATTATTAAGCCTCTGTCGAATATTAATAAACGATACCAATTTATGGATATTTCAATATTTGGTAGCATGGTACCTATACTCAAATGGAAACTTAAACGTTTAGAGTTTGTTATGTAATAATTTTTACAATCGATTCTGCATATCATATTCAATCTTTTAGCTGTAGTAAACAATATATTCAGAATTTTGATTTGCAATTATTTAACAATTGCTACGATTGCACAATAAAAAAAACTTACACCATACCTCCAACTTGGACAGATGTGTGTCATTAAGTTGTTGGGTGTTATTATCATAATGGCCTATCGTCTATCACCTATATAGCAAATTACACACTAATCGAAAGTAGCGACCAAAATTATTCATTATAAATATCGTAATCGTTATAATATTATATTATGTTTACCAGGCACCAATTTTGATAAATTTAATTTAATAGACGTTCAGCACAATATATTATTATCATTGTTCCATTTTTAGGATTTGAAGGTAAATATCAATTTTTGAAATAATATATAGGTACTACATAATAAAAAAAAATGTAATAATTCAAATTGTGTAATCGAAAATACCTATAATAAAATTGTATCAACTTCAGAATTGAATGTATACAACAACAACAATATTAATTTCCATTTGGGCTTACTTGCAATTTATCAAGTATTATTCAAACACAATTAAAAAATTATTCAAAATGTATGTATGTACAGGTTTAAATAACTTTGTATAATATAACAAAACCGATATTATAAATTTACACATGGAATTCTATGCTTCAGGTTTAGCATTATTATGCATTTATACTTCTTAGAACGAGCAATTTTTTAAAGATAGCATTTTTAAATTGTTGTCGATAAAAGAATATGTTTACAGTTACGTCTATTGTTATTGAAGATTGTTTTGAAGAGATTATATTGGATGAATTCAAATATATTTATACTTTATTAAAATAAAATAAACGTTTTGTAAAATATTTTTCTTTGAAATGATCTTTTGAAACAGGGGTTCCTAAAATAAAATAAAAAACAATAATTTAAAAATTAAAAATTAAAAGTAAAAAAGCTTTCGACGGGATAGCTATTGCCTATCTTTTAACTTTCTTTCCAATTAATGTATACCTACACGGCTACATATACATTAAACATTTATAATTCAACGAAACATGCAATTATTTCTGTGAAAGAATATATAATACTTGTACTTCCGGAATACCGCAATTCAGTGTAGATAATAATGGACGATTTCGAATAGACACGGAATTTAATCAACTCCGTAATCCGTAGTTACTCATTTTATCAG